GTGCGTCATGTGGTGCGCCAGTGCGCGACGTCGGCCATTTGTCGTGTTTGAAACGGGATCCGAATACATGCTGAAAAATCTCGAAAATAATCTGCCAAATGATTCGAGTGATGATCGGTCTTTGATTTCTGCAGTTATTTAGCATGAACTAGCATTTAGTATTTACTATTTCGCGTATACGCCGAAACTTTCTTAAGTATTTTTAATTAACATCTGTTCGATGCTTATTCAGGCCTGCGGCGTTGTACACCACCTATAGAGACGTTGTGTCTGTGTTGTATTGTAACTGGGGTTCAGCTCTTTGCTCTTGTGGTGGTTCTTTGTACGGTCTTAAAATCAATCTAGTAGTAGTAGTGGGTGATAAGGTTGACTGTCATTATTATAATTTGGCACATACACTCTACACGCGTACAACGATTCCAACCATTAAAAATTAAAAAATCTTCTTCCCGACGATCCCCTATATCGCGGGTCTATAACCTATTACCCCGCAATGTCACATACCTTCCTACGGGCCTGCTCTATCACTCTCTCTCTCTCTCTCTCTCTCTCTCTCTCTCTCGCTCTCTCTCTGCAACTCGTCTATATAACTACGTCTTATATACTTTGTTTTAAGCGTAGGTACGAGCGGGTTGTCATTAATTACCGTATTTACCGATAAGAACACCTGCCATTGGCTACCACAATATTTAATTATGCTGAGCGGGCGGTGTCTGTGACTGTGTCACGTTAATGCAGGGGTTCTTAACCTGTGGCCAATGGACCATTTTGGGGTCCATGGATGGGATTCAGAGGGTTCATGAAACAGGGGCATGCAAAATTTGGTGTATATATGCTTATGTGCATTTTTCTGGGCTCCGTAGCTTTCACCAGATTCTCAAAGGGGTCCATGACTCAAGAATGGTTAAGAACAACTGCGTTAATGTCTAAGAAGGTCTACGCTAATGTTTTAATCTCTAAGCGCGCGTGGGCACGCTAGCTATAGCTACTCATCGATTGCGCGCCTACACATGCAGTTCATGCATATTGCAGCAACATAATATAACAAAACATAACATAACATAATATAACAGAACATAACATAACATAATATAACAG